GCTGGGATGCACCCTGAGCAGTGTGGCCCCAAGTCCACACTCTGCAGGGCTTTGTGTCCGCCTGCGAGGAGCGGCTGTGGAGACTGCATGAATAATATCTAGAAAGTGCTTAGCTGGTCTGACAAGGTCACCCATTCAACAGTGACAGCTGCCACTCTGAGACACAGGAGAGCTCCAGGGGCTGTGCAGTGTGAAAGGGAATGGCTCTGGGTGGGTGGGGTTCTTCAGTGGAGGAAGGGCCTGGAGTTACACGGAGCAGGGCTGCCTGAGGGTGTCCCTGTGAGCCAGATGTGACAGCCCAGCACAGGCCCTGAGCCTATAAGCAGATGACCAGTCTCAGACTCTGTCCCCAGACCCTTAGACCAGCACTCTTTGCCCTCCTCTTCCAAAAACAGAGCCTCCAGCCTCACCCAGTAGCCTGACCTTGCGTTTTTCCCTTCCTCTTGCTTTGACGTATGTAGTGATTTGGATATTAGTTTGGGTGTTGAATGTACCCCCCAGGCCTGGGAATATTTAAAGGCATGGTCTCCAGGGGGATGCTTTTGGGAAGTGTTAGGACCTCTAGGAGATGAGGCCTGGTGGAAGGTTCTTGGGTCATTGGGGTGTGCCCTAAGCAGGCCATTCTCTCAAGAGGGTTGGTTGTCAAGGCCCAAGTTCAGGTCCAGCTGTTCTCTCTGCTTCCTGGCCTGCCCTTGGGCTTCCCTCCATGCCTGCTATGCCATTGCTGCCCACTGCCCCCAACTGAAGCCAGCTTAGTGGGGTCAGTGGATCTTGGACTTGAACACTGAGCTTAATAAACTCTTTACTAAGTTAGTTGCCTCATGTATTTAATTATAACACTGAAAATGGGACCAATACAGGACTGTTATTTCATGTACCTGCGTCCAATAGGGAACAGACAGATGATAGACACTGTTCCACAGGGGTAGGGAGCATGAGGACAATGGTGTCATTTGTGTGTTCCAGTGGGGACAACCACAGTCTAGTCCACTTGCCACCCACCATGTACGTACGGACAGGTCTTTTGGGCCTGTGAGTGTCACAGTTTTTTTGGGCTCCTCTCTAACCTTATTTCCTTGTTTCACTGTAACCTCGGAATTCACTGTGACATCGGCTGCTCCTCGGGTGCTCTAAGAGACCACTCAGGTGGGTCCAGGTTCAGGGGGAGCACTTGACGATCATCATACCAGGCTTGCGTGCAGAAAGGGAACATGCCCTGTGCGTTGGAAATTGAGATGAGGGGATCTTGTAGCCATCAGAACAAAGCCAAGGGGCTTGTGTGCTCAGACCACATCAGGCCTGGGTCACCTCGGAGTGTATCTGTGCACCTGTTGGCGGGATGAGGGGAACCCTGTGTGGCCGCGACCATCTATTCCAGGTCATGGTACCACCCACGATTACTCTGGGAACATGTACAAGCTGCTTTATTTAGTGTTTCCATTGCTACTTCTATGCTAAGCTATACTGACGTTTAATTTGGATCTGAGCCTCTCTCGAAAGTTCTCTTGAATGCAGAGTATGGTGGTTATATGTTGCTGTGGTTTGGATATGGTTTCAGTGTGTTCCCCAAGGGTTCACATACTGGAAGAGTTCTACCTCTCCACTGTAGCTGTGTTGAGCTGGTGGGACCTTCAAGAGGTGGAGCCTGGTGGACAGTGGGTGGGTCCCTGGGGGCATAGCCCTTGGAAGGAATTAATGCTGATCTCAGGGAGGCAGTTTCCCCCTGGCCACGCTGTGTACCCATCCCCAACAGGTGCACAGGTTCACCCTGAGTGACGGCAACCCAGTGCCGGCCTAGAACACAAGCCCTTCAGCTTCGTTCTGATGACAGCAAGCACATCCCCTAGACTCGGTTTGCAAAGCACAGAGCACGCGCCCTTTCCTGCACTTGAGCCTGGGAGAATTTCACCACGTGCTGCCCTTCAGTACTGGACACACCTGAGTGACTGGGTGCACTAGAGCAAGCCTAGCCCCGCGGTGCCTCCCCGGCTTCCCGGCTCCTGGGTGCTCTCTTCCTCTTGCATGCAATCCCACCTGATGCCATCCGCCACGCTGGGACGTAGCCAATGAGGCCCTCATCAGAGAACGTTCCGCCTCCAAAGCCATGATCAGAATAAACCACTTTTCTTTATAAAGTACGCAGCCTCCCATATTTTTCATAGCAACAGAAGGCAGACTAATACGCAGGTGATCCTTTATTTTTAGAACTCAGCAAGAAATACCATCTTTTTTTTTAAAACAGAAGAAAGCTAAATTCTGATAGAGTGATTGCTATGCACAGAGCACGGTGGCCCCCAGGCTGCTTTTTCTCCTGGAAATGACAGCCAAGATGGATAGGTCCCATTATAGAAATGTCAAGTGTCAAGGCCCACAGGTGTCCTTGGCCCAGGACCTGGGGGTGTGAGGGGTGGTATGAGATTCAGACGGATATGTGTGTGTGAGTGCTGACGCGCGTCTTCATCTGTTTTCTGTTGCTTCAACCAAACGCCTGGACAGGGTGATATTAAAGAATGGAAGTGTATTGGCTCACAGGATGGGAGGCAGGGAAGCCAGGAGCAGGCCTCTGCATCTGGTGAGGACCTTGTAGCTGCATCCTCCCGTGGCAGAGAGCGTCCCATGCTGCGGCAGCGAGGGTGGAGAGCCAAGCAAGGGTGCTGTCTGAGGCCGCTCTCCCTCCCAGGAAGCCACTGATGCCATCCCAGGTGTCCCAACCACATGAGCTCCTCTTAGTTACCTGCCAGCAGCCCCACCTCCAGGTACCACTAACCCATGAACTTCGTGGGAGATGAACTGAAACCACAGCCGCCCATGTAGCACATGCTTAGATGAAAATAAGCTGGACCCTGTGCCTTAAAATAGCGCCTCATCCAGTGCTCCTGCTGTGGTGGTGACTTTCGGCAGTGCCAGCTCACGCGGTGTTGAGTCTCATGGCTGACGTACAGCCAAGCAAAGACCCCTTACTTCAAGGCATTGCCTGCTCCGGTTGGCAACAGCCTTCAGATCTGTACATACTGCTATCCATGTTAAAGTCAAACCTCCCGGTCACCCTGACTTGATTCCACATGACAGTGAGGGCGCTGTTCTCCATGGTGGTTGTGTGTCTCCCTCTCCCTCCCTCTTCCCGTCCACTCACGGGACCACCTACATTGACAACACCCAGTGCTTGCTGGGAAGTCTTCAAGATTAAACTAAATCGCAATGGCAGTTGACCCCAAAAGAGGGGATAAGGGGTTGACGTAAGACACTGTCACCTACGCAGATCTTTCTCATGAGAGAGACATTTGTTGCTTCTAGTGTAAAGATGGTCTTGCAGAAGATGCCTCAGCCCAGCCAATGATACAGTCTTGTCCCTCTTGACATCTCAGTCTAGTCACGGAGGAATCAAGGTCAAAGAAAAGGTGAATCTCAAACGGTGTTCTCACACATCCCCAAGGTGTTCCTTCTCTTGGAAGCCTCTTGTGGGAGCTGGTGAGTTTCAGGGCACAGGACATGCTGATGGACAGCAGAGTGGGGTTTAGCTCCACAGCCTCTGCCGAGAGAATAGCAGTACTAATGGAACTAAAGCTACTTCGAAGTTTCTCGATTGTGTCCTCTAAAAAAAAAAAAAAGCAGAAGCGCTTTTCCCCTTTACAAAATGGGAGACGCCCACATATTTTGTAGACTCACAGAATCTAAAGCCAAAGTAGGCCTCAACAGTTGCTCAGCATAACCCTCCACTCTAGGCAACATGCTCCAAGTGCAAAGACAAGTAGGGCAGAACCGGGTCCACGTCTTGTCCCATTAGCCCCGAACCCCCGTGCAAGCCAGAGTCACTGAGATGACTTAGAAACGCATTCAGAGGCACGCAGTGGTGATCATTCTGTCATTGGCTAGCACAGGACAGTAGGCACGAGTTAAGGAGTGGTCTTTGTCTTGGGGCCTGAGAGCACCATGGTCCAGTGGCCTTTAGGTGATGTCCGGGGCCCCAAGGGACTTGCCCCTGCTCCCTGGCACAGCACTCCTGCTGGAACCGACTGTCTTCACAGAATGGATTCTAGGTTACACATCCTTTTTGAAATGAATTCACCTGAAAACTGCTGTCTGTAAAGAAAGAATGCAACAATGCTGATAGGAATCTTAATTTTTCATCCTCAGAAGTAGTAGGACCTGAAGTTGCATTGCTTTTTTTTTTATTTTTCTTTTTATGGCCCCAAAAGTATGCTTTTCCCATTCAGGACGGATCACAGGGCTCCGAGTGGGTGGAGAGTGGCCCTCCCAGGCTCTTCAGGAAGCTCCTGCCCTGTGGTATTCCCCACTTGCCAGAATCTTCCACCAGTGTGCGTGCCAGCGCCTCAACTGAGGGAAGGCCTGACGGAGCGGCTGTCGCTCAGAGCTCAAGTTGACTGCTGTGTGACTCAGCAAAGTCCACTTCCTCTCCCACTGTCTGCACCGTCAGGACCCCTGACAGGCGACGCAGCACGGCACCCAGGACAGGAAACACAGAGCAAGTAGTGGTGGAATTAAAGTGGTGGAATTAGATTAAAGTGGAGGAAAAGCCTCACTTAGCTTCTGAAAACAGAACAAGGAGACTTCAAAAAGAAGTTCACAGAAAATCAAATTAAATGATGTTTATTTCAGTGCAAAGAAACCTTGAAATCCATGCATACATGGGGTCTTCAGTTTATGAAAAATGCATATTATATAAAGTTGAGCATGGGTTTCAAGTGTCTTTGGCATCAAAACAAGTATATCTTTTTCTTCCCTTTTCCAAGAACTTTTTGAAATACTCTCGTTTTCTTGATACCAGACACCTTTTCCTATGACTGTTGTGAGGTTACTTTTCATAATGTATTGTCTGCTGTTTCCCACATGCATTGGAGGAAAATGGCTTAAAGGAGAAAGAAAAAAAATAGGAAATCAAATAGATGGATTACTGAGGTGTTGCTCCAATAACAGTGATGTCGTGGTGCTGAATTATTTCCAAGTGCTAAGTGCCTGTACATCTTTGTTCCTTCTTTCAGAATGCTAGAAGATGACCTGAAGCTAAGTAGTGATGAAGAAGAGAATGAGCAGGTAAGATTTGCTTTCACAAGACCAATCCTTGGATGCATTCAGAGGCCACCCCAGGGTGGTGGTGGGGGTGCTGTACCCGGGTGTTGCAAACTCTGAATTGTGTTGCTCTGGGAGGCTGGCTTTCCTCTTCTGATTATACACTTGCGTGCAGTCGGGCCAGTCTGTACAAATAGCTCGGCCTTGATTTTTCCTGACACTTTAATGCCGTAATTTTTATGGCGTTGGCACCAACAATGGGTATTTACAAGGAATGAACTAGGGTTGGACTTCATTGGGAAATGGAGCCTTTTCTTTTCTTTTTTTTGTCCAAGCTACCTGGCCTTCAGGAGCTCAGACATGGGACCTTAACCTTGTCAGCATGCAACAGGCAAGCTGTAACATTAAATATTGAGAAGTGTTATGCAGGTATTATTAACATCGAGAAGGGAAAAACGTAGGGGTGAGTTAAAATGATGAATAAAAAATAATCGTGCTCCATCTTGGCTGTTTGTCTTACATGATAAATGCGCCTGAAATATTCTCCCGTGGTGTTGATTTATCAGCTCCAGACATCAGTCAGGGGGTTATAAATGCTCTTCTGCTCAGTCAGTTAAGTTGAAAAAACATCCACTTAACATTCATCACGCTCCCCTCTGCATCTCAGGAAATGTTTGTATTTGAAAGCAAGTTTGCAAAGAGGAAAGCTGGATTTTCCTACACTTTTGTTCCTATTTCTCGCCACCCGTGCTGTGTTTTTTCAAGTATGGGTAAAGGTGATGGCAGAAATGCAAGCCCACGGGGTCTTCTTTACATGTTGTTTTACATGCGATGAGAAATAGGTCATCCAGGTGATCCTGGAATAGGGAGCTTAAAGCCGTGGTGTCGGGAAATGCTATGGAAGTGATGCCCTATGTGGACAGGCCAGTGCACAGGCTGTCGGGAGAGAGCGGCAGGAGAAATAGAGGTCAAAGGAAGATCTCTGGAAAGACTGTGTCAGTGAAACGTGGCTGTGAGGTCAGAGAAGGGATTTCTGGTCGTGAGAGAGAAGCTGAGGCACCAAGGCCGCGAGAGTCTGGAACCCAGACTGGCAGGCAGAGAGCACTGCAGGGAAGGAGTAGCTTAGCTGGGCAGCTGGGCCAGGAGGAGCAGTCGGGCTGTGCATTTTGTAGAGAGTGGCGAGTCTGTTTCTAGGCGTATGCACCGGGCAGTCAGGTACCCACATAGCCAACCTGCAAGAGGTAGAGCAGATCACTGCTACATTTGGTTCTTCATCTACGGGGCTTGCAAAAAGTTCTTGGCAAATGCATACTGCGAAAAATCCATGGATTTCTAAAGTTTTGGCACCAAAATAAAATTACCTTTGTAACTCCATTTTCCCATGAACTGTTTGAAGTTTTGGGTTTTTTTGAAAGGCAGAGTTACAGAGAAGCAGAAGCAGATTATATGTATAGATAGATAGGGGGTGGGGGTCTTCTGTCCACTGGTTCACTCCCCAAATGGCTGCAACAGCCAGAGCTGGACCGATCCAAAGCCAGGAGCCTGGAGCTTCTTCAGAGTCTCCCACATGGGTTCAGGGGCCCGAGCAGCCGGGACTCAAACCAGTGCCCATATGGGATACCGGCACTGCAGGCCATGGCTTTACCCACTATGCCACAGCACCAGCCCCTTGAGGTGTTTTTATATATCTAACAGCAAATGATTTCCTCTGTTGTCCCCCACTGAGTCTCAATGTGTTTATTATGAACTAAGTTGTATCAAATGTGTAAATTGTGTATACTTTATATTGGAAAAAGATCCTCAGACCATTTCAACTAGCAAGCTTTTCTTAATTTGGAAGTAATTCCCTGCACCGTTTCCAGTGAAAACACATGCACATAAAAGAAAACTCATTCTCAGTGTTGCACGATACACACTCTAAAGACAGTAAGAACATTGACTCGACTTGTTTGGCTTTATTAGCTACTCCTTTCCTATTGATAATATCATGTTGTGAACAGACAGGTTAACTTATTTATTTTTTTTTAATTTTTTTTTTTTGACAGGCAGAGTGGATAGTGAGAGACAAAAAGACAGAAAGGTCTTCCTTTGCCGTTGGTTCACCCTCCAATGGCCGCCGCAGCCAGCGTGCTGCGGCCGGCGCACTGCACTGATCCGATGGCAGGAGCCAGGTGCTTCTCCTGGTCTCCCATGGGGTGCAGGGCCCAAGCACTTGGGCCATCCTCCACTGCACTCCCTGGCCACAACAGAGAGCTGGCCTGGAAGAGGGGCAACCGGGACAGATTCAGGAGCCCCGACCGGGACTAGAACCCGGTGTGCCGGCGCTGCAAGGCAGAGGATTAGCCTAGTGAGCAGCAGCGCCGGCCAACTTATTTATTCTTGTATTTAAGCCTTATATATATACAACTTTTTTTATGAATGATTTTTATATAGTACTCCCTGCCTTATGGTTTGGACTCCAGACAAAGGTTTTGTATATGGTCATTTAAGTCATTGCTGCAACACTAGTTGTATTGGGTTGCCCTGCTTTGGCCTATGGTTTTACCCTGGTCTAATCACAAAATCATAATTTCCCTTACTTTCAAAAAGACTAGTGATACAGTATTTTTTCTCCCTAAGACCAAAATGTGGTTTTTCCCTGCCAGAGGGTAGCTGGTGCACACATGTAACACACATGCACACACGTCATTTCTCTGGCATTGTGAAATGATTAAAGGTTTACCATAAACAGTTTTTGCAGACACAATCAGAGTTTGTTCCTTGACCCGAAACATTTTATACTCCCCGCCTCAGTGAATATAGTGCATTAAGATTCTTAACCTCTTCTGACATTACGTCTGATTGTCTCTGTGAGCATTTGTTGAAATGGCTTGGGTAGCCGTGGTCATAAACAGATGCCCACAGGAGCTTCAGGTCACTACACCCGCTCGTCCTCCCCAGCTGGGCAGAGAGTGTTGTCCATCTGAGTACTTGCCATCCAGTGGTGCTTTTCTCCTCATTGCCTTTGCACTCTTAAAGCTGAGGGCGCAGACTGGATTTGTGATGAAGAGCCAAGCAGCCCTTCCCCAGGGGTTCAAACCCAGCCAGCCAGCTACTGTCCGTGTCAGCGTCTCCATTGTGAATCTGAAGTTAGCATGAGATTCCCAAGCCTGCCACTTCCTCTGGACTTGAAGTCACCTGCTATCTTCATGTCGCTAGATCCATGAGGCTTTTTTTATTTATAGAAGAATGTTAAATTTGGCCGGCGCCGCAGCTCACTAGGCTAATCCTCCGCCTAGCGGCGCCGGCACACCGGGTTCTAGTCCCAGTCGGGGCGCCGGATTCTGTCCTGGTTGCCCCTCTTCCAGGCCAGCTCTCTGCTGTGGCCCGGGAGTGCAGTGGAGGATGGCCCAAGTGCTTGGGCCCTGCACCCCATGGGAGACCAGGAAAAGCACCTGGCTCCTGGCTCCTGCCATCGGATCAGCGCGGTGCGCCAGCTGCAGCGCGCTGGCCGCGGTGGCCATTGGAGGGTGAACCACTGACAAAGGAAGACCTTTTTCTTCTGTCTCTTCTCACTGTCCACCTCGGGCTGGTCCAAAAAATAAAAAAAATATAAAGAGAATGTGTAATTTGTGTTAAAATGTTAAAAAATATGTTCATGCGTATCAGTATACAATTGAATATTTAGAGAAAAGTATGTGTGCCTTAAGTGCAAACATACAACTTGTTAAGTATTCATAACACAAAGACACTCACATCAGCAGCACCCAGATTAAGGTACAGCCACAGCGTCCTCCCAGGAGCCCACAAGTTCCTACCAGTCAGCACCACCAGAGACATAGCCAACTTCCTGTTTTCTGACACTGTAGAGTGATTGTCCCTTGTCTTTGAACTCTCTGTCGGTGGAGTCAAATAGCATGTACTCCTTTACGTCAAGCTTCTTCCATTCAGCATTGTGAGAGCCCATGTCCTTCCGTGGGGTTGAGGTGTGCCCTTCTTTACTGAGATACCTTGTTTTGTTACGTGTATATACCATAATCTACATACACATTGCACTGCTGATGGGCACGCCAGTATCTGAAGCTGCTAAAATGGTGCTGCTGTCTTAGCATCTGGGTCTTTTGTTGAGTTACGGAAACATTTCTGCTGTTGGGCCATAGGGTATGTGCAAGTTCAGCTTTGGCAAGTTATCTCCACTCATTTTCCAAAATGGTTGTGCCAACTGGCATTCCCGCCAGCAACATAAGAGAATTCTGGTTGCTTTCATGTCCTCACCAGGCATCTGTCTTTTTAGGTTCCTAAGTGTAACCATCTGAGGTTTGCTGTTTCTCCCTGTCTTTCTAGTTTTCATCAGAGTAACACTGTCCTCATAAAACCATTTGGGATGTGTTCCCTGCTCTTCTTTTTTCTCGAAGAGATTGTGTAAAAACTGGTGTTAATTTTCTTTGGCAGGATTCAAAAGTGAAGCCATCAGGGTCTGGAGACTTTTAAAACTCATAAATTCTGTTTCTTTAGTAGTCGTAGAGCTGTAAGACATTTCATATTGCCTAAGTTGTGATAATATTTGCTCTTCAAGTAATTAGCCTATCTGTGTCATTTAAGTGGTCATGTTTGTGTGTGTGGAGTCATTCATAGTATCACTTTACTATCTTTTTGATGATGGCAGGATCTATGACAATAGCCCCTGTTTCATTCCTGATCCTAATCACTTCTCCTATTCTTTTCCTTTTGGCAGTCTTGCTTAGAGGTGTACCAATTTTATTGATCTTTCTGCAATAAAATAAATCTATTTTTAAACTTCACTTTCCATGACTCATGGATTATTTAGAAGTCTGTTATTTGATTGCCAGGTGTTTAGGGATCTCCTTTAATCACAGTTTTATGGGTTCCTAATTTATTCCATTATGTTCAGAGAACATACTCTATATGATTTCATTTCTCATAGATTTGTTGAAGATTTTTTTCTGGCCCAACATACAATCTGTAATGGTATATGTTTAATGGGTACTTGAAGGAATTTATATTCTGCTGTTGCTGGGTAGAGT